CAATATTTTAGAAACATTGTAAAAGTCAAATTCAACCTTGATGGACCATGATGACCAGGTTTCATTTTGTAGGGCCATATTCCCCCTAATGCCTGGCCATATTCCCCCAACAATAGGGGTAATATGGCCTCTTGGGACCCATGTGAAGAGGTCCCAAATACTCTTTTCCCATTTACTTTTCTGCACGGATCTTGTTGGGAATAAATAAAGGAGACATCAATCAATATTTTCTGAATATTGGCAAAGTTTCATTTCACCTAGACGTGACGCCATAACCTGATTTCATTTTTGGTGTCCATATTCCCCCAAGTTACCCTATGCTTTTCCCAGGGCAAAGCCCTGGGAGAGATTCGCACTCGGACTTTATTTGCATCCTCATGCACTTCTTCTTGCACCTCATACACGTCTTATTCAAGAGTGAGAAGCGAGAAGTACAGGGTGACCTAAAAGAAATGCAAACAAAACAAAATTACTCTGTTGTTTTTTAAGATATCACCTTCGATTTTTTAATTTTTTCCGTTATTTCTTTGTCTATTTTAGCCTTCTACTGTATTAAAAAAAAATGTTTACTCTTCAATGGACCCCAAACATGAAGCGATTTAGAGGCTTTTTCAGTCTGAAATGCGATGCGCGAAAATCTCAAAACGCTTAAAAATTCACCAATCCACCGTTGCACGCACAATTTCCCGGTTTGAAGAGCGTGGTGATTCTTCTGACCGTTCAAAAACGGGTCGCCTGCAGACTGTCAACACAAGGTGGCTGAAATCCATCACCAGAAGTCGACTTGACGGAAAACCGCACCAGCCTTTGCGAAATTTGGAAAAAAAAGTCAATACTCCACGTGAATCAGTTCGCAGGATCGTCAAAAACGTTCTTCAGCGAAAATATTATAAGCTCCACAAAGCGCATTTGCTGACGGAAAAGATGGTGCAGATGCGGAAGGGCGGATTCCAGTTGCTGTTGCAGCGTTTTGCCAACGGAACACACGGCAGTATCATGTGTTCGGACGAAAAAATCTTTACGATTGAGCAAAAGTTCAACGTCCAAAATGACTGGATTTGGTCACCAAACATGACAGCTGCAATATTGGCGGGCCCAAAAGTTTCCAGGTCGCAGAAGACGACTTCGGCGATGATTTGGGCTGGCATCACTTCCAGGGGCAAAATTCTTCTCATTTTCTTGGATTCGAGGATCAAAATCAACAAGGACAGTACTGAGAACATATTCTTGAGAATGTCGTTGTTCCGTGGACCAACGGGAATTTCGCTCAAGAGGATAGGATTTTCTAGCAGGACTCTGCGCCGTCTCACAAGGCAAAAACCACTGATGATTGGTGCCGAGAAAACCTGTCAGGATTTATTGGCGCTGAAGAATGGCCACCTTATTCACAGGATCTCAACTTTTGGATCTTCTGTTTGGAGCGCTCTCGAGGCAAAGGCCTGTATTAAACTGCACAAAATTGTGGGGTCGCTCAATAGACCCCCTACAGGCTACCTGGCCTGAAATAGACGGCAACATGCTCTGAAACATTGTGGATGATTTCCCGAAGCGCTTGAAGTCTTGTATCAAAGCAAGAAGAGGATACAGAAATTATATATATATTTTTACAAAATGTGTCTTCTGATAAGTGTTAGTGCAAAGGTTTGTTTCAATCGGATAAGTAGGATGGAAAATATCCGTGTTTATATTTGCTGCATTTCTTTTGGGCCACCGTGTACCGAAAGCATAGACAGAATTTGATTACATTATTGGCGCGTATTCATGGAAATATCTGAAAAGAAAAGGCATTTTTCTGTAGTAAGCACATTGGAGTCGGAGATGATAAACACCTTGGAATGCTCTAGAAGAATCAATCGAAGCGCGGTACGAATTCTGGCTCTCTCCAGTTGCCCAATCCTTCCAGCACCAGTGCTGCACTACTCCAAAACAGTACCCGACTTCACAACATGATCCGACTGCAATACTTAGCTTTATCGAAAAAAAAAATTGAAAATAAGATCTACCAATAACACATTAGCCACTGAACAAGTTTGAGTATCTTTGAACGGAAACTAGGCTAAATTTAACTCAGGTCAGGACGAAATCCTTCATATCCAACTAGGCCAGTCATAAGAGAGCATTCACAATTAAAAAATTAGAAAATGCTTGCTATTATAACCTGCACTGGCATGAGACCTGGAAACAAGGGCAGAAATGGCCTTGAAGAGGTCTTTATCAAAGTGAATGGGGAAATGACATCTTATACTCTATATAAAACAAAACAAACTTTATTTCACTGTTTCATTCTGCTATATCCTTTGACTGTCCTCAGAAAAAATGCATGCATTCAATCACAAGAAGTTTCAGCAGCACCATGTATGTGTGACTGACTTGGACACAAATATGATGAATCCCAGGATGATGACAGACTCATCATGATGTCTCCAAGACCCTGAAGTCATAACCCAGTAAACAAGGCTACATTGGACCAACATTGTATCAACGTTTTGAGCGTTTATTCAATGTTAATTCAACGTTGATTCAATGTTATGTGTTTCAAATTGTTTGCTGGGAACTGACTTAAACGGACATCAATTAGGACCAGATCCACTCCCTCTTCATTACTTCATCATGAAGGCTGTGTGTTACTCATATTCAGCATGATGAATTCTACTGCCTGAGGGAAGTCTTCAAAAACATAGTTGGGCTTCTCTCCAAATCTGTCCACGTCACCATGGCGGTACTTTCCGGTTTTCACCAATGCACCAATGAGTCCTGCCTTCTGTGCTCCCAACACATCATCCTTCACATCCTGATAATTAAACCATCACATTAGCATGAGGTTACAGCAACAATTTTCAGTGGTACAAACATTAGAATTACATTTTGCACATCCCTTTGGGCCAAGTCTTTTATACCAGCCTAGAAAGATTCAAATAGTCAATGCAGCTCTGAGGAGCAATTAGATAGCATCAGCATCAATTAACCTGATGCATGCCAAGCATCCCAATTAAGCTACATCAATTATATGCTAGAAAAAGTAAGTGAGATTGCCTTCAGAGATTTTGTCTTGCCATTGTCTCACAGTTAAAACACTGAACAGTAACACAGCAGTGAGAAAGTTTGGAAGGGAAATGGAAAGGAAACTGGGGTTTTCAGACCTCTTCCTCATTCCTCAGGTATTTGGCAAGTTTTCTCAGCATTATTTCATTGAATGACCTGGAAACTTATCTCATAATTCTTACATATCACCAAAAGTTCCTTTTCCATATTTAATTAATTTACTCAATTTTTCATTTTGGCAATAAGTATGACCTCCCTGCTCCCATTTAAATTGAAGCATTTTGGTAAGTTTTCTCTGTGAATGTTCATCCAATGCTTTTGAAACTCTACATTTTTTTATACACTGCCAAAAGCTTGTACAGAAAATTTAATCAAGATTGTTCAACTCCTTGGTGTTGCTCTTTACTTTGGCAATGAGCACATAAAGGACAATCACTAACAATCTGCTCCTGAAACTTACATCTCCAATCATAATTGCATTCTCAGGTTTCACATCAAGCTCCTTCAATGCAGATAGGAAGAATGATGACTCAGGCTTTCCAACCACCTCTGCAGTCACCCCAGTTGCATATTCTAATGCTGTCACAAATGGACCTGGTCCAAGAGCTAGTCCATCTTTCCTCTTGTAATATCGTGCCTTGTGAATTCCAATTAATGTCCCACCATGCAGAAGCAACCTATAGAGAACTCAAACATTTTTAGGTTGAAACATGTAAATATTGATAAATAAAAATATAGACCATTAACATAGGCCATGAGAGGAAAGTGAATGGATGAAAAAATTCAGCTTGTGAGACACACCTGAATGCTTGATTAAGGGGTTCATAACTGAACAATGAAGGTGCAAGTCCAACAACAAGAGCATTTGGATTATCAGTTGGGATTCCCTGAAAATCTTCCAATGCTTCTGGTTCCAACATCAAGTGAGGCCTTAGCTCTTTCCTTTCCACCAAGGAACGTGCTGCTGTGAGTGAGGTGAAGATTTCAGATTGATCAATGCTGAACCCAAGTTGTATCAATCTCTCAAACAGAACCCTCTTTGATTCCTTCGTTGTATTTGTCACAAATTTCACACATGGAATGACCTCACGTAGTCTGAAATGGAAGGAATGACAAATGAGTCACCAATTAAGCAAATATTTATGCTAAAGAGAGGCCTATGCATAATAGATCCATAGGTATTTAATAAAGAGGGACCAATGCAGAAACTTCTGATTAGTATGTGATGCCTGTTTCTTTGCATATGAATGGTGTATTTCTGTACAAAACACAACATTTTTTACAGGACAATTAAGCATTACTCTCAGATATAAGACTCTTGGAGAGAAATAAATAAAAGTACCATATAGATGACAGTATATACAGAATATACAAAAAGCTAATCATTGGATTACAAGGTATGGATTATTTCCTGTCTTGACTGTTTTTGGAAATTTCATACCTGATAGGATACTGTCAAGTCAAAGTTAGCCTAATCACAAAATTTGGTTCAAGTTACTCAAATTGACTAATTGATCAAAGTTAGGCCAAAATTATCCTAAGGAAACCTGTAATGATTAGGTGTGTCAAATGGGGTCACTCTCGGTCAATTTTGATCAACTTAGTAACTGTAAAACAATGAAGGTCAAGTTGAGTCAATGGGTCAATTTGAGCCACTGTGACATTTGAACTAAATACTAAACACAACTATAGCATTCCAAAAAAATTAAGCAGTGGAGAAGCAGCAAGCAGGGTGAACCTTTCCATTTTTCATCACCCTGTAGGAGCCTTTCATGTACTGTATACTGAATTGGAGACAGCTTTCCAAAGATATTGAATTCACTGTGATTGTGGAATGGACTTTTTGGTAATGGAAGGGAAATGAAAGGGCAATGTTTATTCCATGAGCTCAGGGAGGCTATCCTTGGAAGATAATTTTACCCCAATAACTTGCTGGTAGGTCTACAGCAGTTTGAGTTTATTTTTCTGGATGGGTTTCTAATTAGAATCCACTTAGGCCTTCGTAAAGAATCCCATTATGAAAATAAGGAGGGTGAAGAGCATGGAAGGTGTCTCCCAAACGATAGACCTAGGCTGTGAAAGGGACAAGTTGGAATGAGACCTTTTAAGGGCTTCAACTGCTCCAGGCACGACAGTATCTTCAATGTGAAGAGTCCCACTGAGATCAATCAAAACTGCGGACAGAGACGGGAAGGGCGGCATCACTCCTGCAGGACCCTGTGCCATAGGCTGCACTCGAAGACCACGACAATGTGTGCACAATACCTCAAACAATTTGATAGAAAGGGTGCTAGTGTATATGCGGCTGGAGAAAGGGCGCTTACATATATTCACCCGCAACATCTCTCTAGTAAAAATGTTTACTGCTACATCTCAAACTGCCAAGAAATTGCGTGGGTCCTTGCTCATCACCACTCGGAGGCTTGAGCAGCGGCATGGCGTCGAGGGAACCAGAGGGTCACATGAACCCCCCCCCCCGGCTTTTTCCATCCATGTTGCAGTTGTGGTCTTGAGGAACGACTCAACAGTAACTTTTTTTTCGAAGTTAAATTTAATTAACATGTGCTCATACAGGATTCTCTTTGAACTAAGAAGAGGGTGTACATTCAGATGAACTTAAGGCAAGTTTCAATCCAATCAAGTTAAGGAGGGCAGGAAGGATGCTCAGGCTTAAGGCAGGCATTGACTGACATGGATAAACTCTGATAAGCAACGAGGAAAATTGACATCCAAGAAGGAATCCGGGGTCGGACTGGCCCACTGGGATACCGGGAAATTTCCCGGGAGCCCCCCCAGACCTGATACAAATTATAAGTGGAGTTATAGTGAACATTGAACTAATGACCACATACTGATATTGATTCCATGAGCACTGCCAAATTGTATAAAGCTATACAAATTATTAATAAATACGGAGCAGTTATTATTAAATTAACCCTTTTTAGACCCGTGGGAGGCACCTTTTCCCTCCTAAAAGCTTTCGAAGTAAATGTCAGTGGCGGCTCGTGACCAACAGCAATAGAGGCTCGTGAATGGAGATTGGTATATTGGAAAATCTCAGGCTGCACGGCGTCCTTTCCTCAGACGTGAGACAACAACAATTTACTTGCAAGTCTGCCGGTGAAAGTGTTCTAGAGCAGTGGTTCTCAACCTTTTCGATCCTGCGGCCAACCTTAACAACTACAAAGTGATCCGCGGCCTACAACAGACTTAAAAGCTATATAATTATTGTTCATCTAACTGTTAATTCCTATTCTTAGATTTACGGATACTTTTCACGGCCCACCGGTTGAGAACCACTGTTCTAGAGAATGCATCTATAGAAATTCTATCGAGGATTCTTTAGAATTTCTGCAAATCTCTACAAAACAATTCATGCAGCTAGGTAAGGAAGAACTCCTTAAAATCTCTATTGTTTTTGGAGTTCTTTCACTACACAGAGTCTGCATAGAGGATTTCAAATAATTCTACATTGTGGAGTCCTCCTCGTGCCCATGGATGAGCAGAGGGGAAGAGTCCCCGAGTTACTACGCCGAGTAGTAATAGCGGACCTCCTCTCGCCCCTTCACGCCCTCACCTCTGCCCTACGCAGCAGTCCGC